GGGCTGGACACGGAGTAGCGCGCCTGCATGTCCCCGCTTGGCCGTCGCCCCGCGCGGCCGGCAGCCCCCAACTTGCTTAAGATCGCGCCCGCCGCGCCCGGCCGCCCAGTCCGAGTCCGGGCCTCGCGGAGCTGGTGTCGGGCCGCCGCCGCCTCCCCGAGCCGCCAACTGCGCGCGGCCTCTCCCTGCGCTCGCTCGGGCTCCCGGGGCGCCTCCAGCCACTGCAGGGCCGGCGCCGGCCGCGGAGGAGGGTCGGTGCTAGGGGAGAGGGCCGGACCAGGACGCGGCAAACGGCCTTGAAGGAACTCGCGGAGCCACTTCCAGGCGAGAACGGAAAAAAGAGCCAAAACTGAAAAAACAAGAAGGCGCCCTTCTCGCCACACCGCCTGCTCCTTCCAGGAGACTGCCCCAGCCGCCGGCGAAGGCGGCCAAATCACCAGGGCGGGGGGCCGCGCGCCGGCCGCCTTCCCGGGCCCCGCGTCACCTTTTTTTTTCAGTCTCTCGCGCGCGGGCCGCTTAAGGAAGCATTGGAAAACTTCTGAACTTTTGAGCATCCGTCACCCAGGCGAGGACTTTTTTACGCAGTTACATTTTTTCCGGGCAGCGGAGCCCCGCCCTCCTGCTGCAGCAGCAGCCAATGGGGGCCGAGAACCGCCTCTGAGTGAGCGGGAGGCCGAGCCCCGCCGGGCCGCGCGGGGCCGCGGGAGGACCGCCGCGCTGACCACACGCACGCCGGCCGGCGGGGTCCCGAGCCCAAGTCCTTGCCCGCGTCCGGCCTGCGCTCGCACCCCTCCGCCGCCGGGCGCCGGGCACTGTCTGTCAACCCCGGCCCTCCGCACGGACGTCCATTGTTTTCGCAGATTTCCTGAGCCCTCTTGGGCCCCACACAGACCCTTCCTCCGTCCACTGCTCACAGATGTCACCGCCGAGTCCTGGAGTTCCAACTCGCGCTGGCTGTCTCTCATTTCTTGGCCGACCTGGCCGGCTCCAGCTTCGGGATTTTCCGGCCCCTCCTACTTTCCCCCCTCACCTCTCCTCTCTCCCCCTTTCCTCCTCTCCCGATCGCCCGGTGAACTCACTGAGTTCACAGGCGTCTCCAGTTTTCCCCACCTGGAGCTTCTGTCCTGAGCTGGGTTACAGAGTTGTATGGGCTCGGTCACAGTCGTGCTCTGTGCCTGGTGGGGAAGGAGTTGTCGACCCCACCTCGCCGTCCCCGTGACCCCTCCCCAGTACAAATAGGAGGAAAGGGGGCTTTGCCGGGAGCTTCCGGCGGTGGCTCACCCAGTCATGCTGTGGCCGCCCCATTGCGGGACGCCCTGCTCCTCGGCCCCCTAGAACCTTTGGCTGCCCGAGGGCGCTTGCGGGCTGCTGAAGCCAGAAGGCTTCCCAGCGCTGCCTTTCGGGGAGCGTGCGGGGTCCCTCTGGTTCGCAGCGCGCCATCCTCTCTTGCCCTGCCCAGCTCAGTGGAGGGGTCATCAGGCTGCGGGCTCAGTGACATTAGCAAGTGTATTAACAAGGAGCAAATAAATAAATCCAAGAACTTAACGCGTCCGGGTCCAGTCTCCATCTGCACACGCGCGGGGCTGCGGGCTCGCAGAGATAACGGATGTTTGGGAGGAATGCTCAGAATCGCCCCCGCAGGGAGGCTCAAGGATTCCGGGGGGATAGCACAGAAGGCGCATCCTGTGCACACGTCTGGGATGCGAGGTTTCTGCTGAGTGGGATGGAATGGGAAGAGAGAACTGAGAGGGAAAGGAACGAAGGGGCAGGAAAGACATGGGCCTTCCTCTGCCGGCAGCGCGATTCTGTCTTTGGGCAACCCTAGAAAAGGCCCTCCTGGAGACTGAGCACTAACTGGATCCCTGACGAGAAGCTGGAGAAACTGGCGAGTGTAGGAAACTGAAGACGCTACAGCTCCACTCCCCCGGTTTCTGACCATTTTTAACTGTAAGGACGTGCTGGGAGTCCCTTTTGGCCTCCCGGCTGGAATCTCAGCTTCCTCTGCACAAGATTTCTAATTGCAGCTTCGGTTGTTTGATGCCAAGCGTGCTGACTTGAGTAGCAGGCACAGCTCCGTGTCTCTTGAACATTAAACAATATATATTGTATTTCATAATGGACGGTTAGTGGAGAGAAGAGGAGGACCTGCTACTTCTAGAAGAGGCCTGGAGGAGGTTGCCCAGAAATTCCGATTCCTGAGGCCACTGCCTCCTGACCTGCTTTGCAATTTGGGCCACTTAAACTACTTTTCCAGGGTGTTCGCAAGGCCGAGTTGCTGACGGGTTGGAAGAAACACTTGATTTACCAGCAGGAGGCTCAGTACTTGGTGATTCCTAAACACTTGCGGAGAGAATAAGGGAGGAGAAACCCCCAGACTTGTAAACTGAATTCGTGACCAACCCCAGCCCTATACCCTGGCTTAGCTCCTTTGGCGGGGTCTGTATGGGGCTCTCTGTCCTCAGCGTGGAGGCCAGTTAAGTAAGTGTTCTCCCTAAACACCTCAGCATTTGGTGAATTTGGGCTTTAAAATACTTTTCCAGTGCTTGCGGTGTTCAGGGACAAACAGCGACAGCGACTCGCTCATTTTCCGAATGTGGGAAATGCCTAAGGGCCAGGTTTTGCAATAGACAGTCATGCTCTGCAGTATCTCCCCTCCTTCTCTCCCAGAGCGGGGAAGGGTAAACAGCCTGTTATGTAAATTGCAAATCGAATAGCAGTGGGGTTCTGGGCTCCCTGCTTCAGATATAAAAGTTGCAGTTGTGAAATTAGTCTCTGGCATGCGGAAAAAAAAATAGAGGGGTGCAATTTTATAAAGATCAACTTTCCACTGGTTTAGATCTGGACATTCGCCAGGAAAAGATATTTGCATTTGTATTTATAAGCTTACTCGGAAGCAAAACTCCAGTAAACGGTTTGATTGTATTTCAAGTAATTATTGTTGCTAGAGGCGTTGTCTGAACATTAAGGCGCGGATATAAAGTTTTGGGGGGTATGAGCTAAAATTTTTATTTCCAGGTTAAAGTTTTTGGGGCCTCTTTTTCCTACTCCACGACTTAGTTCAGTAACTCGTTTCCCCCACAACCCTTGACTTCACTGGCAGAAATGCCCCGCAGGCGACAGCCGTAATAGATGTTCGGTGGGACTGTCGCTTGGCCAATCCCGGACCCCCATTCCCTCCCTGACCGGCCTGGCAGGGTTACAATCCCAGGGGCCCAACGTAGGGTTCTTTGCTGTGAGGAGGGGCGTGACGTCACAGCGATATTTAAGACAAGGCTTTCCAGGGCCCCTACAGCAGAAAAACACAAGGAGGGGGACATGTTGAGCACGCCAGGACTGCCCGGATTGGGGAACTTGGTGGACTCAGTGTGTGTGTGTGGGGGGGGGGGAGGGGTGTAACAGGGAGCGGGGTGGAGATGGTGCCCTAAGCAGGTCGGCTCCTTTTCTTTTCCAGTCAAGTAGAGAGCAGAAGGAGGGTGGGGGGCAGTCCAGGAAATGACTCGTCTGGGGCGTTAGCCCAGTCCAGAGTGCACAGACCCCTCGGGAACTTTCCCGGCGTGTCCCTCAGCCCCGCCGGCCAAATCGCCCCCCTGGTGTGCCCAGACCCCCTTCCCGCCGCCCGCGGCCGGCTTCGGCGCACTCTGGGCTCTGAGTTGTGCCCAAGAAGCCAGCCCGGGGGCGGGGGCGTCTAGGACGCGCTGGTGCCGCCTTGGGGAGAGAGGCCCTTGACTCAGGAGCTCCGGGAAAAGGAACCGCAGGCACAGAAGATGAGGGAAGGGCTTCTCCAACTCCAGATGGTGCAGCGAGCTCTGGGGGCTCTGCACGCCCAGGAGGAGGCTGTGAGTCCACAGCCGTCTAGCATCTCCTTTCCTGCCCGAGAGGAAGTGGAAGATTGAGGCAATTGCCAGGACAATGCGACTCGAAAACTCCTCACTAGACTGAAATCACAGACAAGTGGAGCCAGTCCGTTTGGGGTTGTGTTTGAGCTTTTCAGAGAAGTGTCCCAGTTCCCCCTGCGGCCTCATTTATGCGGACCAGAAGCCCAGGGGTAGGGGAGCACATCCTGGGGCCAATAGCCGTTCTTCGTTATCAAGCTGTCAGCCTGGGAGGTAGCGTTTGTCATCAGCGTGACTCCAGCGAAGGCAGGAGGCAGGAGCAAACGTCTGGGTGACCCCGTCCGGGGTGGATTTCCTTCTTCTCTCCTAGTTGGGGGTTTCTGAGTAGAGGTTTTGTGGCGGCAGTCCCTCTGATTCAGCCCCCTCCTTCGCAGAAAAATAATTTCTACAATAAATAAAAAGAACGTTTATTTTTTATTATGTTTTAAAGACAAAGTGATCCACGTTGCCTGTCTCCATGATTTAACCAGTTGGGTAGTTGGCCTCGCAGGGAACCCTCCCCGGGAAGTTTATAAGATGGGATTAATTAATGTCATCCCCCAAGTCCCCGACGCGGGCCGTCCCGCTAGTCACTTACGAGGGAGAGAATGTGCCAACATCTGCTCGTGGTTATCCCCTGGGGTCGGCCCACCTGTTGACTCCGCAGGAAAGCCCAGGCTCCCGGAGCTTTCCTGGGGGTCAGAGCCGAGCTGAGTAGCTAGAAAGGGCCACGGGGCTTGCGAGAAGTAAATCTTTAATTTTGGTGCTGGGCTAGAAAGACGGACTTTCTTTATACAGGCATCAGTAGAAGGCGATCCGAACTGTCTCTTGTCATTAACAACCGGGGACAAGCGTACAATTTGTATAAAGGGGCGGGGTGATCGGAACGGATTACTTGTGTGCGTGTGTGCTCACGCGCGCCGCGGTTTATTCCCACCCAGGTCTCGGGCTGACTCGGGCCGCAGCCGAAAGCCGGGGCCTTGAAAGGTAGAGGCGCTGCCGCCTCCCACCTTCGGGACTTGGATTCCTTTGGGTCACACGCCGCGCGGGGCCCGGCCGTCCTCAAGCCGCAGAGGCTGCTAGCGCGGCGCAGAGGCTGCCGGTGCGGAGCAGAGGCTGCGGGTGCGGGCGGTGTGGGCTGTCGAGAACAGAGGGGCCGACGCGCCTTCCCTGGACGGGGGCAGAAAGCGCACGCTCCGGCACAGAAGCGCCGTGGCTAAGGCGTGTTAGCTCCGATCAGCGGACAGACCCACCGGCAGTTCGGAACCGCCGGCGGGATGAGGCCGGCTGCACCTTGCTGGTTGCTGGGCCCGTGCCTGCCGGCGGTGGGCGCTTCCCCGGGTTCCAGTCTCGCCTCTCACCTGACCCGCACGCCGGAGCTGCCGCCGGCCCTTTCTCCCACCCCAGAGCGACCTTCGCTGAGCTTGAGCCTCGACGACCTGGCCCCTCTTCGCGCCCGGGGAACCTGAGCTCTGGGATGCTCCTCCCGAAGTCCCGCATCCCACCCCGGGGCGTCACCGGACCCGGCCGCGCGGCTGAGCCCGTGTGCGTAAGGTGCGGCGCCCGGGCCTGGTGTGGGACAGCCGCACCTTCGTGGGAGCCAGCGGTTTGCACCGCTCAGGACCGGGACAAGGTCGGCAAACTGGCTCCGTGCAACAGGTCTCCCCGGAGGGCGGTTTGTCCTCGGTGCGCTGGCAGCTGGAAGCGGTAGCCCGGTGGCCGAGGCCCCTTCCGCCCTCCACAGGCTTCCTGCTTCTTCCCTGCGAGCTCAGGGCAGAGAAGGGGAGGTGTGGGAAGTCCCGAGGCCGCTCCACCGCCCGGGGATGGGGGCGCAGGTTCCTGGCCTGTCCCAGACCTCTGGGGTCGCGAGTCCGCCCGTCACTCTCGACACCCACACTGGGCCCTGCTCGGGCTCCGAGCGCCCCCTGCCGACCGCAGCTTCATCTCGCTACGCCTCCGCCGATGGTGCGAGACCCCCAGCACGCCCCAGGCCTTCCCCAGGAAAAGGGCTCTGAAGGGGAGATCCTGGGGGCGGCCATGCTGCTGGGGTGGGACCCCGCAGGGGCTGACTCATGCGTTCACACCCTGCAACCTACCACGCTCCAGGCGGGAATAGTCTGGTCTTGAAATCCCATAGAGAGACCAGTTCGGACTCCTGGGCACAGACCAGGGACGTTTTGGTGCCTGGAGCCAGAGGTGACCCGGTACTGAAAGCCAGCCACTGACTACATTCCTTCCAGGCGACCCCTTTTAATTGATGTGCACATTACAGAAAAAGCAGGGCTGCTTCATCAAGTGAATTACATTCTGGGAGATGCCAAGGAATGTATTTACTGGCAGCCAGATTTGCCAATAAAAGTTGCAAATGAAAACTGCTGGTTTCCAGGAAAATGTACTTCTGTTTTTTAACCACTCCTTAGTCTTAATTATGAAAAACTGAACCCCCAAAGAACTGGTTTAGAGAACAGGACTATTGAGTGGTAGTGATGGTGGCTGCTAGTGCGGTCTCACACCCCCACACACATTTACACACCCCAGAGACACCATAGGACAACACCAACAGTGCACACTGTGGCTTTGCCCATGGAGAGACTTGCCAATATTTACATACACTGTAGACACAGACACAGGCTAGACGTTGGCCTGCAAAGGTATGCATTCGGATTAGTGCTATTTAGTTTGGAAGCAAAGATATAAGAAAAGATAAACTATGGCAAATAGGGAGGCACATTTCCACAGAATGTTAAATAGTAATAAATGTATGAAAGGAAAAAGGGTACTTGCTCTGTAGTATGTAGTTCTGGTTGCCTTCATATTTTTTAAGGCCAATAGATGACTAGAGTTAAACTATAAATTAAGGGTAACAGACAAACCAACCCAGAATCGACTTTTATTGAGGTCCCCTTTTGCTTGGGGTCACAAATATCTCAGTTGGAATTAGAAAATCTCTCTGCTCACCAAATGGGACAACTCTTTGTTCTCCCCAAGGTTTGACTCCCCCTGCAGACACTTGGTTTGGGGCAGAGTGTGAATATTCACCAAGGGAGAATTTGTTTGATATGACATTTCTTGTGTCTTAACCACAGACCTTTAAACAACAATAATAAGGTGCATGGAACACTTATGTTGTCATTAAATAATGATTTTATTTAATCCTCACAAGGTCCCTGATATGCATACTATTATCTGCATCTTATATAGAAGGGGAGGTCAAAGGGTGGGTAGCTTAAAGAGAATAAGTAGCTTGCCCAAGATTGCCTAGCCTTCACAATTTTACTCTGCTTGTCACATTGGATCATTGATGTGCCGTTAAGAGAAGGAAAAAAAATTAAACTATTAAGCACCATCAGGAATCTCATCTCTATTTCCATGTTAAAATATGCATTTCAGATCAATGGTACATTGACGAATCCATTTAATTAACAACTGCATGGAGGCTGTCTTTATGTTCAACATTATTCTAACAGCTGCATATAGAGCAGTTGGACATCTTTGTGAAGTAAATACTAATAGCCACATCCATCAGTGCTTGGATCTACTGCCATGTGTAAATATACTTGACTTGCACTGGGCTAGTATATTAGCACACATATTTCTAGAGATGCTGGCAGTAGTGATAGCAGGGGAAACAACGTGAGTTCATGGACAGGAAAATGCTATGTATGTGGGCATAGGCATTTCTATGCAAAAAAGTAGAGGTCCTGCCAGCTGATGTGCTTGCTGTCATCTTGAGTGACATCTGAGGGCTCCTCTCCGGGGCTTCCCTTCCACTGAGCTGTCCTAAGGAAGGTTCTCCAGGAAATACAGGCCAGGGGAGAAGAGATGCTCTTCCCTCCCCCGCCCCCATGCTGGACCTGTCCCCTGCAGCCCCTGCCCCTGCTTTCAAAGGGACTAGACAGATCAGACGTGGCAGGCTAGGAAAGCTTAGGACACTGCGAGGAAATAAACATTTCCACTGCCTCCCCGTCACAAGATGCTGGGGTGGGACTGGGCAGCAGAGTTGGGTGTTGGGATTGGTTAATCTGCAGGATTCTTTGCGGGGACTGTTTGGCAGTCAAGCTTTTCATGTCACAGAGGGAAACTGAGGCTCTCTTGAAGAGAGGTGGTCTGAGGTCTTCCTTCTCAAGTGGAGGCTTCCACCCAGGACTTGGCAAGTGTAGGCCAGCCTTCCCTCCGCAGGTCACCCTGACTCCTCAACCTGAAGTCCTACAGAGGCCGTGGTGTCCAATGCAGTGGAGGCATTTAGCCATGTGTCTTGTGTGTATGTGTGTGTGTGTGTATGTGGAGGGGGGCAGGTAGGGGGAGAGTAGGAGCAGGGCAAGGAGGGGAGGTCAAAGGGTGGGGCTACCACTCAGGCCCAAGGGGCTCTGCTCTCCCAGGGGACAGGACAACATCGTGTCCTAGACCCCTCAGTGGTGCCCAGGGGACCCTCTGTGCCAGGATTTCCTGAATCTTCCCAGGAAGTGCCTGGTGTGTCCAGTGCTGGCCATTGGGTCCCATCAGCTGGTGGCCACAGCGGGCAGTGGGCTCCACGGGCCAGACTCCCCCAGGACTGCCCTGCCCCCGCCGGCTGTCACGGCGACAGTCTGGGACTGTCCTGCTTCTCTTCAAGACCAGCCATTGTGGGCGTCTGGTCTGCCTTTGTCCCCTCAGTGTGCGGAGGAAGGCTCTTTTAAAGGCTGGGCTGCTGTGTTCACACACGGAATCCCGACCCAGGGCCTTGTTTAGTCTATCTCACTGACGTCCTTCCTGAACAGATGGGAAAAGGAAACTATTCTCTTAGCCATTTTTGCCTTCACTGTACCCCAGCCCATCCATCATTTTCTCACCCACTGTCCCTGGGACTGCGAGGTCTGCGTTGAATGCTGGGCAGCAGAAAGTCCCGAGGCAGCTACAGCAGAGGCAGGGCACGCCCACCGCCCCCGCGCTTCCTTCTTCAACACAAAGGTTTGCATTGTGGGCTATGCCAATGATGAAACAGGCTCCAGATTAGATAAGGTTAAATGACACTTTTATAAGGTGTTGGTATCGACTGAGGAGACCTTCTCTTTTTATTTGTGAGGGTGCTTGTAATCATAGTTTGTTTTTCTACTTCTCTGTCTTCTAAAGTAGACAACATATATACACACTGTGACTTAGTAGGGAGAGGACCACTCATTTGCACCCAAAGGGGGTGAAATTAGTCACTTGCCAAGAAAGATCAAGTTTCTAAAAGTTGCTGACTTCTGGCCCAGTCATCGAGGCAGACTATTTTGCTTTTGTGTGTGGTAATTCCTCAGAGTGCCTGGTGCCATGCTAAGGAACACCCCGTCATAGTCTTCTTTGTTGCCTTTATGAGCACTTGCTACCAAAGATTATTGTTAGGTGTATTTGTTTTAGTAAGGTGCCCATCCAAAGACAGGCAAAGGTGTCACTGGGAAAATGTTTTGGGAGGAGTCGGCCAGGGGTTCTACATAACAGGAAAACAGACGGGGCTCCACCCTCTTCATATGGAGGCAAACTCAGTCCCACATTTTGTTTAATGCCAGTCACCTTGTCTACTGTCTGCTGGATGTAGGTTAGATTTCTAGTAAACATCACTATCATCAATGTCAACTGTTGTTTTTTTTTTTTCTGGAATTGTCTCAGATGTAGATTCCAACACTTTGCCCACTTTAGTTTGTCTTTGGATATTTTAAAACAGAGGGCTAATGCATTGCAGTAACATTTTAAATGAATTTAGAAAAATATGTGTTTTATATTTCCCCTAAGTTTGGTATGTTTGACTCTCCCTTGACTATGCATTAACTGGAAAAAATAAACATACTTTTCTTGCTCTTGTTTCCCTTCTCTTGCTGGTCTGTACATCAGCTTTCCTGATGATATCTATACAGCTTTGCTGATATCAGGCTGATTCAATTATCTGATGGTGTTGACAGTAAATCGCATACAAAGAGAGCTTTTCTTTGTTTTCTGACTGTGCCAAACATTTTCCAAGTAGGTATTTAGAATCCAGAAAGTGTCCCCTGGCGGATCAGAGAAATATTAAATACAGGTCAAGCACTGGATTCAAAGTTTTTGGCAATGTCCCTTTAAAAGCAAATGTCTCTGATGTGCCCAGATCTGCTTTTCCAATATTAGCATAGCTTTCAGTGTTATCCACCAAAGACTGGTAAGTGTCCATATTCAATGGAGTCAGAAAATGACGGATGCATAATTTGTCCTTTCTCTTAGGGAAAGATTGAATGTTGAATAATTCACTGTAATGTAAGTCTTGATAGATTTAATTCATCCTCCCCCACTACGCCCCACTTCTGGCTATTTAATATTTTAGTTAAATTTTGAAGTGTGGGGCATGGGAGAGAGAATGGAGCTGGGCTCAGGAAGGAGATTAAACCCAGGACCAAATTTTTGAAGAAAAAGTTTGATGGGTCTTTTATTGTTACCATTTTCTCTTAGAAAGCATGATTGTGGGTATGAATTCTTTCACATGTTGAAGGGCTTTTTTAATGATTATATGG